GGGGTGCAGTCAGTGGGCAGGAAGTGGGAGGGGGGCGGATAGGGGGCGGGGGGCAGGCTATTTGGGGAGGCACAACCTTCCCTACCCGGCCCTCAGTACAGTTGTGCAACTCCGATGTGGCCCTCGGGCCAAAAAGTTTGTCCACCCCAGGTCATATTGTCCATGTCCTACCAGGGCACAATTGCTTGCTACCATATACTCTCAAGTCCCATTTCCAGTCTGGTTTTAAATTGCTCAAGCAATGGGACTTCCACCACTTCTTTTGGGAGTATCTGCAACAGCCTGATAGATCTTCCTGTCAGGATATGTTTCCAGATATTTAACCTAAATTTTGCTTAGTTTCAAGCCATTAGTCCTAAAGCTTCCTCCTTGGTATTTACACTCTTAAAATATAGGTAGATTACCATAATACCCGCTCTGGGTTGTTTGGCCAGGCTAGCTATGTCAGAGGGGAAGTCTATGTGAGTGACTAGAGAGGGAGGGGATAGGATTACGCAGCTGCATCCCATCCACCATGTAGGGGAGCCACAGTTGCATCCCTCTCTTTATTCCGTGGCTGCTATGGTGGAGCCAAACACCACCCAGTTGAGAAGACCAAGGGAGAGGGATTTAGTGAGAGGCTTTGAGTCATGTCCCCCTGTCAGGAATTTACCAACTAAAACACTTGTTTCCCTGATCAGCAGTAACTGCTCCTCTGCAATTTGAATAGATAGTGCATGTGTGACTAGATGACATCAGCTGAGCCGAAGTGTAAGAAGGCAGGGATGTGAGCTTTCTTGCCATGTGCTATGGGAGGCCTGTTGGGGAACCCTCAGAGGCTGATATCTACAGGTAATCCTTTAGCTCTTGGTCATCTGCAAGAATTGATGGTATGACTTCTGGCAGTGGCACATTGGCACCCCTTTCCTTCCTAGAGGAGGAATGAATTCCTATTGTACATGTTGCACACAGGAAGGAGAGCACTTCACTCTTAATTCTTTTACTTTTTCCAGTAAGCCTACCTCCAGCCCTTAATCATGTTAATGGTCGTCTCTGAATTCTCTCCAAACTGTTAAAGAAATTCATACCAACTGTTAAAAGCAGTAATTAGTTTCTAGTACATGCCTTTTTAGCCATTGTCATAACAAGAGTTTAAGTCATGCCACTTAGAATGTCTTGCCTTTTATCTTTTTGTTGTGGTTTAATTGTATTTTAATGTGATGTTTTGTTGTGTTTAATTAAAAAGATGTTTCACGTGAAATACTAAAAGTTACAATTACAATTGACACTTGCTAAATGTGAAATGTTTTTCTTTCCTTAAAACCTTCCTTTCAAGATACCCTCTTTTCCCATAGCCCCTTTCACTGTCTTTAAATACTAGTGATTCCTTTAGCTCCACTCCCATCACACAATCTTCCTGTATCTTAGAGTCTTGCTGCCAGATGAGAACATTGGACAGTGGAATAGGAACCTTCCCTCTCCCAGACTCAGGAAACCGGTCAACTGGACGATATGTTTCTAAGCAAGAATCAACTTTAGAAACTGAAGTCTTCATGCCTCCTGAGCAAGCCCTTCCTTCAGCCCCTTCAATAAAAGCCAAAACTCTTGAGCGAGAAGTGCCTTCAACAGCTAAGAGCCCAGAATCTGTGGAAAACATGATTAGTCATTCAACATCTGATCCTACCATGACTGCCAAAGTTGTACGACCTTTTCAAAGTCGCCTTCCAAAACCAGTCTCCTCAGGTAAAATGCCAATTACACTGGAAATTAGATTATTTCTGCCCTAATGTCTGTTTCCATTAACAGAAGCCCTGTAATAGTGACGTTAGATAATGGGAATGCTAAGCCTGTAGCAGAAAAGATTCCTTATGTGAATATATAAGGTTATCAAGTTGGTGACCTGAGTCCAATGGAAATTTGGTTGCTCATAATGCATATCTGTACCTCAAAGAAAATTGTGCAAAATGTTAAATCCCTTCCTCAAGAAACTATATTTGAGAGAAAAGTAGGGCCAGCCCTCAGAAATGCTGAACACTGGTGATTCCCATTGATTTGAATAAGAATTTCATGTGCTCAGCAACTTTCAGGATCAGGCTCTCAATTTGCTGTCAGTGGCCATATTGTGATATTAAATGTTAAAATGACACATTCATAAACACTTGCTTTCAAAACTGAACTTGGAATACAAAGTAATTTGGAATCAGTGCATAAATTCTATACCAATGAATATTTTGCCTCAATTATAAACATAAGTCTCTTGACATGTTACTGCACTGTACAAATGTATTTATAGACAGTAGTAAAAAACACTTATTTTGATGGTTCAGCAGGATGTGCATTAAATATAACATATAAAACAATAGCTCCCAAAGAATGAAAGACACATGCTAAGGCCCCAATCCAGCAAACACACACATGAGTATCTTTATATATACAAACTGAATTGAATATAGTCCCACTGAGTTCAATGGGACTGCCAATGTGTAAAGGTACATGTGTGTATGTGTGTTTGCAGGCTTGTGGCCTAAAAGTACAAGTACCAGTAAAAAAAATTGATGTTTATTACACCGCAGTATTTATCTTTATCATGGAGTAATTTCTGTATTTAAAATGGGAAATATTGCAAATAACAGAGTAAATTAAACTGCTTTGGGTGGTGTACACATTTTAATTCTTCCTACTTCAGTATTATGTATTCTTTGTATTATGGGAATGCGCAAAAGCCCCTATTAGGATTGGTGGTCTTTGCTGTTAAAAACTGTGTACTTAGACCACAAAGGGCAGATAGACATCTAATGTTTAGGCTCCTTGCTGCACAGTGGAATCCACAGCCCTGAGTTAGACACCCAGGCTCCCTGTTCAGTGCATGAGGAAAGTTAGGTGCCTAAGAATGGGAGTCACTGAGCAGGGAGCTGTTTAAGCTAGTGTCGAGGAGAGGGGTGCGGCCTGAGCTCCATCTCTCAAACGGAGTCAGGCATCTCCCTCCACTTGGGATTCACAGCCATGAAACCTCTTCTGACACCTAAATCAGCTCAGCCCTTTCTCTCGAAAAAAATGGGGGGCAGCTATTCCACCCCTTATATAGCCTATAGCCCAATGGGAGGTGCAGCTTCAAATCCATCCTGCCTGATTTGGAAAAAGGACTTGATCCCAGGTCTCCCACTTCCTGTGTGAATATCCTAACCACTGGGCTACAAGGTATTCTGGATGTAGCTTTAAATCTCTCCTGTTGAAGCTGTTCCACTTTGTATGCAATATTTAAATATTCATTGGGCCAGAGAGAATGAAATGTGAGAGAGTGACTCTATAGCCCAATGGTCAGTGCACTCACCTGGGATGTGGAAGAGTCCGCTCCAAGCCCCTACTCCAATGACCACATCCCAAGTAAGTGCTTTAGCCACTGGGCTACACTACCACCTCCTTCTGTGTTAGTAGGTATCCTCTGAGAATGCCCACTTGATCGGGCTCTCCAGGTGAGCTAGGTGGGGGAACATTTAGTTTGAGGATCCCACTGCGGTTTAGGTAGGAGCTAGGTGCTGGGAGTCAGGACTTAGGCAGCTTTGTGCATGCTCACCAGCAGAAGTGTAGGTGCCATGGGGACTTTCCAATGGAAATGTGGGCTTCTACAGGGTTAGGTAGCATTTGAGCAGGAGCATTGAGGATCTACATTTTGGGTTTCGGTGCCCAAAGTGACCATTAAATGTTTAAATCCCTTTGTGGATCTAGCCTTAGATTAACACATATAAACACACACTAAGAGACAGTCCCTGCCCCAAAGAGTTTACATTCTAAAAAGAAAACTATTTAAAAAACAGCAAAAAATCTACAGGCTGAAACTTTTTTGCTAACACTTTGTCAAAGTAGAGTATTTATTGCAACTAAAAAAATGACACTGATTTATTTAACTTGCATGACTCTGTGCCACATTGCCCTCATACAAGAAATCCCATGTAATGATCATGTAAGGCTAGACATCAGGTTTAAATTTAGGGTAAGGCCACCAAAGTATGTTTTGGTAAATTGCTGTTATTTAAATTGAACCTAAGACTAAATAGTCTTTCATCAGAATGTATATGAGAAGGTTTTTAATTAAACATATTGGAATGTAGTTGATTTAACCATATTCCAATTGCAGTATATTAGAGTGCAAATACATATTGTGGTCTTTATTGCAAACTCCCCTGCAGGTTTTGCATCAAAGCTAAATAAAATATATTTTGATACATATTATTTTAGAAAGAAATGTATTGTTAATTAATGGCACAGCTAAGAGAGATTCAGAAGAGAAATCTTAGTTATAGATTATATGCTACATGCTTGAATAGTCACATGTGTGACCTCAATTCAGCAGTGTGCTATAGAGTAGACTCCATGATTAAACACTGTCATTATAACAAATTGAATAGAAACTGCAAGCATTGAATTGCTTCATAAGAAGTTAGTAGCAGTAAGATTGCACTGATTTTAATGCTAATATTCACTGCACCAACCTTGTAAGGTTTGTATCTTAATTAAATTGTCGTGAAGAGATGCAAAAAAAGTAGAATACATCAGATTGTGAGGTCAACTCATTCTTTCCTGGAATATTTTCATCTGACCTTCTTCTTTACCCTACTTCACCAAAAACACAACAATCATTTTATTCTACAAAGCACTGTTTATTTTCTTAGATTTTGGTTCTACATAATATACATGTCGTAAATAAAAAGAACTATTTGATCTAAAAAAATTCTGGAGTAAGGTATAATTTCCTATTTGTGTCTGTCAACAAACTGAGTTTGCTAAGTTTCTCTCCATCAGAATATAAAATAACAGTACAGCTCTTCTAATGATTTCCTAAAAATCATTGTAACATTTTGTTTCTCATTTGCAAAGAGTTTATATTTTAAAAGTCAAAGACTGACTTTAAATTGTGTCTTCTCTTCTCTCCTCCTGATAACTGGGAAGTGCTTTGGGCAAGATTCTGCCACCCTTATGTTGAACAGCACCTTACTATACAAGTAGTTCCATTGAAGAATGGGATTATTTGACATGAATAGAAGTATCAGACTCTGACCCATAATTGAACACTGGATTACTCCTAAACACAATCAAATGCTGTTGTTAGTGTAATGATGATGAGATCCATAAATTGCCTAATCTCTTTCTGAATTCAGGAATAATTAACCCTCCAAAGCAAAGTGGACAGGAACAAATTCTGGTGACTTCTGTTTCATTAGAGCATACTGAAAAAAATGTGGAAAACAAGAAGATTCTTCCAGACTGGAGCAGCAAGAAAGCCACTAAAAAAACAAAGGTATAAATTGAAAGAAAAATGCCAGTGGTGTAACTAGCATATATATTTAATCTAAAGACCATATTTAACTGTAAAGAGTCAAATTGCTAAATGTCCTAACATTAATGAAAAGAATAATTAACAATCCAATACATAATTATTTGTGATTACTTGATAACATTCATTGACAAAAGGTACCTTATTATTTATTAATAACAATACAGTGCCCACAGGTATGCTTGGTACTTTGTCTCATGCTTTACAGACATTAATTACTTAAATATTATTATCTCCAGGCATTTTATAGATGAGGGAATTGAGTTGCTGTTACATGGTGGTCTTTCTTTACAAGAGATTTTGGATTTTCGTTGTTTTTTCCCTTTGGAGATACAGTTCTTTCCTGATTTTGGTTTTGCTGTTGGTGTGGTATGAGTGAGTGGATGTAATATCATTGTAGTGTAAATGGTAAAATAATCTTCTTTTGGTTTCTGTCATTTTGTTAATCCCTACAATGATCTGTCTCTCTTTCAATCCTTCCTTGTAAACGATGAAAAGGACAAATAGGCAAATGCATACCCTTGTGTAAAAGCTACTGTTGATAGGTGCAGGGCTATGAATGATTAGAAGTGCCAAATGAGTCAAGCCCTTTTGGAAGGGCAGGTGCAGCAGGTTAGCAAGTGGGAACCCTTGAGATATAGGATACATAGGATGATTTAAAAAAAACCTCCTTAAGAAAGGGTATGGTTAAACTGCTCCACAGCTAGCATGTAAACCTCACACTATTATGAGCTAACATCTTTATGTTGGTTATGTTGTGATTTATTCTAATCTTTTTGTCTTATGCTGTTTTTTAACTGGTGCCCCTGTTCCTTTATAAAGCTGGCCCAGATTCTTGCTCTCCATGGTACACACAGATAAGTTAAGTGGCTTGCCTAATGTCACATTGGCAAGTCTGTGGCAGATCCTGATTAGAGTACTGCTGCCTCTCACTCCCATACTCCTGTTGTTAGAGTATGCCTCTTATCCAATAAGTAGCTGCCATTTTAAATCTCTGATGAATTGAGGAATGCATGGGAAAAACCAGCATCTCCAAAACTGCCATAAGAAGTGCTCGTATTAAAAAAGTTTAAAAGTGGGTCCAGGTGATAATTGTACTTGTGGACCCTGCTATCTGGTTGATAATCAGAACACCAGGTACAAATACCACCCTATTCTGAATATCAGATGTAACTTCCTCCCCCGTCCTTTCTGCTGCCACTGAACTCCTAAATCTTCAGCACTTCCATGGAGTGGGGTATCAGGACCAGGGCTTCTCTTTACTAGGGATCTTCACTTCCAGAGGAAGCAATGTATTTGTCTGTGCCCCTCCCCGTGGAGTCTAGAGGAGAAGGAGCCAATTGTGGAGCTTATTGCTTTCCCTCCACTTTGCCAAAAGATAGGAAGGGGGGCATGACTTAAAATGGCTGAATTGCTCACAGGTGGTAAAGCCATGAGTGTTTTATGCTAGTTATTCCAAACAAGTGTTGATAAAACCTTTACACAGCCCTACAGACCATTTGTTGTGTGAATGCCCTACATGCTATCTTAGAAATACTTGAGAGGTTTTAAAATTGTATATGATGGGTACTTTATAAATGCAAATAAATAAATAAATATTACCTGAGGAAAGTGTGCAACCTTAAAGCAGTTATACAGAGGGAAAGAGGCTGGATTCTCCCACTCTTACTCATGTTAAGCTGTTACTCACTCAAGGAGTCCTGTTTAAACCATTGGGACTAAGTGAGGAGTATCTGAGGAGAATCTGACCCAGTATAAGCAGGACTAACTCTTGGGATATATCTGGATAATAATAGTGGCTATTTCCCATACTGTCAAACATATGGATACATACTGAACGATACTTG